CATAGCCATGCAATCTCCAAACAAGCTCTAGAAGAATAGGCCATAATGAAGAGCTCAGTGACTTTAAATGCTGTAAGTACGTTCTTGAAATTTCTGCCATGCTAGATCTGCCCTGGTCAACTGTAAGCCCTTTATTGTGGAATGGAAGCATCTAGGAGCAACAACAGCTCAGCCACAAAACAACAAGTCTTGCAAAGTCACAGAGCAGGGCTACATATTTCCAAATTGGTTCCAGAGCTAAGCAGCTCACACAAGCCTAAGATCACAAAGTGCAATGCCAAGAGACAGCTGGAGTGGTAAACCATGTCAGCACTGGACTCTGGACCAGTGGAAATGTGTTGTCTCGAGTGATGAATCACACTTCACTATCTGGCAGTCTGATAGATGAATCTGGGTTTGGCAGATACCACGAGAAGGCTACCAGAATGCACTGCCAACAGTAAAGTTTGGTGGAGGAGGAATAATGATCTGGGGCTGTTTTTGGACTGACACAGCATGGACCCAAATTTCCACAGACACGCTCACTATCTTGTGGAAAGCCTTCCCAGAAGAGCGAAGGTTGTTATAGCCACAAAGGGGCGGCCAAATCCATAACAATGCCCGAGGTTTCGAAATGGGATGTCCAACAAGATCATACAGTTGTGATGGCCAGGTGTCCACATACTTTTGGCCATATAGTATATGTTTGAGTATATTCTTTTAACTTCATTATTAAGTGTTATTTCAGTGACGCCACAAAAAAAACCACAAATAGCTAAAGGGTTTTTGTCAAATATCTATGCTAATTATATACAGTTTTATGCTAAATTTAGAACATCCTTGGTCAAATTTCATTAATTTGTTATGTTTAACATATTTGAATAAAAATTAAAACAAGTCATATTAAATGTGCCATGACTTTTGCATGTGCCACATTTTATGTTTCAATTTTTGTGTTAAATTCAGCAAACAAACAGTAATTGTGCATTAAAATAAGCAGAAGTGTGTTCTCTGTAGAGGATTTGTTAACTTATTTTTACTTTAAAAAACAAAAAATATCTGACATTTGCTTGTGTCACTGTGTTCCAGCGTCAGGGAAAAATTTATTCTAACCAATATTATTTTAGCATTTTCCCTCCACCTGTCATCACCCTGATCAATCACTGAGCAAGAACTCCTGTCATCGCCTCCATTCATGGCTGCACGTACATATATTTCGGCAGACAATTGTTTTTGTCACTTTACTCTCTCTCTTTCAGTTTTGGACGGTTTGTAAAATAATCACTTATGAGTTATTTGAGTTTGTTTACGCTGGCAATCTGTGATCATGTTAACACGAGTGAGGTAGTTTGAATATCTGTGCACTATTTGCACTGTTTTTTTAAGTTTTCTGCCGCACTATGAGGTGGGTCAGCTGATGATGAGGGTGACGTGGACACACACACACAGACACACAAACACACACACATACAGACACACAAACACACACACAGACACACACACACACACACACACACATACAGACACACAAACACACACACACACACACAGACACACACACACACACACACACACACACACACACACACACACACACAGACACACACACTCCATCTCCTGCCCATACATGTTAGTTAGTTACCGTCACACATGGGTTTATTTTCTGACTTCTTTTTTCTCTTGCAAGTGTGATTAATGTGTAAATAAAGCAAAAGCGATGCGGATGCTAAAACGTCTGCTTACTGGGACTTCACCTTGTCTACAAGAGTCAGCCAGTAAACACTACCGGAATGCATAGTGCCAACAGTTTAAAAAATGCATATTGAAATCAAGATTTCAACAAATAATGAATCACGTTTTATGATTATGATACTACAGAAAATGTAGATCAAAATGTTGTAGTACTTCATTTGGGACAAATTGGGCTTATTTTTATTTTTTATGTTTGGATTTTCTGTGAAACAGCTGTACTCTGCAGACCGTCACAGTCTGACTCATTGTCTCACAAGCCCACTCTTTACAATATAATCAAACCAAAGAATAAATAATAATAAATCATGTCCTGCCCACAATTGTTTCCCACCTGAGTGTCCTGTTTCTCTTGGAAATACGTCATGATAATGAAGAAAAATGTGTTCTGATTTGCAATTCATGTTGATGTTAAATCAAAGATGGCACAGTAAGTTTTTGCCTGTTGGCTACTTAAGTTACTTAACGTTATCATCTTAAGTCGAGGTTACACTACATACCTTTTACCCAGATTTTAGCCCTGATTCTCAGTCTGGCTCAGTCTGTTGGCTCTAGTCTGCAGATTTTGGGGCATTGGAGTCAACAGTTGTGAAAGTAATTGAGTTATGGGCGAAGGGCACAGACTCCGATTTTTGGCCTCCCAATTGTGTTTCAGACCAGTCGGAGAATATCAAATATGTCTGATTTTTTGACCAGGCTCTGAGTATAATCTAGCTATAATCTACCACACTGATCACATCTTTATATCCATTGCCCACACTTAAATATGTTTACCTGTTGCTTCTTTACTGTGTCAGCACAAACAGCAGTGAAAACAACAGCAGCAGCAAACTTCTCCACATTTGTTTATTTGCATCTCTTAGTAACAAGTTTGGTGAGTTCGGTTCAGCAACAACTTAAAAATTGTAAAACTATATTTCAAATTGTGAACTATATTTCAGTCGGCCAAAAAAAATCTACAGGAACCAGTCATATAGTGAGAGATAACCAGTCTTTTTATTATGTGTTAGGTCTTTTATTATCTGTTAAGCTGTGTCGTATATCCAAGGCTTTAGCTTCTATATGTATCATTGTTTCTATGGTCTGCTAACTAATAATTAACAGGATACACGTCCAGGTAATTAACTATTAGGAAACAACAGTGAAGGTGAAGGTTGTGTTAGGACTTTTGCCCAGGGACTCTTAATGGTATAGTATGGGGTGCTTGACTAGGTGGGGTATTAAACCCCAGTCTACAATGTATGTAGATGCAGGGAGTGAGGCAAGTCAAGTAGGGGTGCTCAGAAACACATTGTGCTCATTGTACTTCTTTGTAGTGTTAACACACACAGAGAGTTCAATAACTTTTTAATAAAAAATATTTAGAAATATAACATATCTAAAGTAAGACTTCATTAGCTTTTATGTAGTTCTGAGTAGTTCATCTAAAAAATTGAAATTTTAAAACATTTAGTAATGTATACGCAAAAGCAGTAAACCTGTCACTAACAAAACCCAGTTGCATTAATTGACCATGACCCAGTAGAATCAACTGACCAACTAGTGTTAGGCTGTTTCTTATTTTTACCCCTACCCCAGTCTGCAGTGATGGCAGAGGGGGTAAAATTCAGCAACCTCGCTGCTGGGCTTCAGTTACATTTAGGCATTCATATGCTTTCAAAGAGCTAATTATTTATTATCGCCCACCGCTAATTCTTCAGTTATATGAAGCTGAAGTCAGCTATTCGCCAGCTTCTTGTTCAAAATTTCCTGTTCCACCATAAATGGAGCAGCAGCTACATTCTGGTGCTTCAGGCTTTAATACTGCTGGACTATTTAAAGTGGAACAGGAAATTTAGCTAGCTAGCTACCGAGACATTAGCATACTATTAGCGATTTTTTATGAATGTTATTAAGAGAAAAGGGCCATAATACACTGAAACGACATCAACCTAAGACAATACAATGGTTATCGTGATTTTTTAACAGAGAAAATTCTTACATTTGTGGGTTTCTTTGGTTGCTTGTGCTGCCATTTTGCCAGTTTTTCTTTTTTTATTTCTCATAACACTCAGTTTGGAGTGTGCCTATGAAAAACCTGTTTGGAGGGCCATGTAGCCCTAACAGTTCACCCTACCCCTCCATCTCAGCAAAAATGGGGACACTCTACCCCTAGGCGTGAATGTGTAAAATGGAGGGCTAGGGGCTAAGTGGTAGGGGCAATGGGTGAAATGGGATTGGGCCTTAACGTACCCTCCTAGATTACTCAAGAACTGTTTTTTCTCTAAGCATATTTTACCAAAACTACTACATTTTCAGGTTGGAATTGATTGTTGATAGACCAAAGAAGGTCCTGTTACACCTCTGAGTGTGGCATGACAAAACCTGATCAACAAAAGGCATACATACAATCAAAACGCTTCCTAAGATCTTTTATTTTAAAATCTCCTGATCTGTCAAACACAACATTTCTTTTCATTTTAAAGGTGAGTCTAAAACACTACTTGATGAAGGTTTCAGGTGCAATGCTGAAACACTTTTTTCCCCTCAAATCAAGCTATGATTGTGTGCAACACTTACTTTTTGTTAACTAAATGTTAAAATTTTGGTTTGCGCAATCTAATTAGTGGTTTAAATATTTTGTGTGAAGTTTCAGGTCACACGGGTCACCAAAAAATGCAGACAAATTTTTCACGTCTGACAAACTAACGGTCTAGGACCGTAAGATTTATTTCTTATTCTAAACTCACACTGTGCAGCATTCATTTACTTTACACTCTGCTGTGTTGAAGTGCCAGAGCTTTATCTTGCCCACCCTTAAAGGCAACACAGAGTTTTTAATAAAAATTTATTACAATAGTCTCAGCTAATATTTACAGGTATAATTAAAACGTCTTCAGTTGGTTATGGTCACATCACATGAATGTGTCTTAGCACGCTGGCCACCTAAAAATCCAATCATGGACCGGTCTGGCCATAAAAACCACGGTCATAAAAGCCCCTCATGGGCTGGTTTGGCCGAGATATGACCCGAGAATTTCCAGCGCCTGACCTCTAAGTGTGTCCGCTGTACTGTCCAAAAGGACATAAAGAGACATAATAATTCCTTTGTTTCCGAGTCCTAAATCACGTGCCCAGCCTGGAGGTCAACCTCACTTTGGGCTACGCTTTCTGAAAAAGCAATCATGTGGGTCGGCATGGTGACCGAACCCCTCCCACATTTTTGCTTTGAGATCCCCCGACGCCGCAGGGGCTGTGGAACTATAGGATCGAAGGAGTAAACTCCCACTTACTTGAAGTTGTCGTCTTCCACAAACTTCTGAAGCTCCTCAATGTAGCGCACAGACATCAAGTACTTTTGCACATGGGGGAGGGTCACGAGGTGATCTGTGGAGAAGATTGAGAGAGTCCAAGACAAAGAGGCAGAAAAAACAAAGGACAATATATAGTGAGGCAGGGAAGAGAGCTCCTCACTCTCACACACTGAAAAAAGTGATGCAGTGAATTTACTAGATTCAAATGTAAACATCTGTTGTGCAGGAATATATAAGTATTACATTAAAACAAAGTTTCACTTTATTCACATTTTTTCATGAATAATAAACTGTGTAAACATTCACAAGTGCATAGGTTTTGGTTTCAGAAGCCAATGTTGGATTTATTGGAAGTTAGATGCTGTTCCTTGTTCCAGTGCAAAACTTGAGAAAAGTCATGGTAGTGAAACTGCACAGAACATTCAAACAGTATTTAACACTTGGAAAACAGTAGAAATTTTAATCTTGCAGGAAACAGAAAACAGAAAACTGTCTTCTTTCCCAGACACGCAGGGTTTCCAGAGTCATGGTTTTCCTGCCAAATTGTTCTAGTTTGGAAGTGTTGTGGGTGGAAATTACAAAGACAGAGGGGTTACATTTTTTTGGGCAACTTTCTCAAAGTACTGCGGCTACCAAAAAAGGTTTGATACTGATTGTAGAGAGCAGAAAATGATAATGAATTGTGTTGTGAATGTGTATTGATCCTGGCGTTCAATAGCCAGCAACCTAAGAATTAGCACATACAGTAAGAGAAAGGGCAGAAGAGTATGGCTTGTTCGGTGGTGCATTGCTAACAGACTTCAGTCCACCTCCTGATGATTGTAAACTTAAAGGAGGGTATACGTAATGTATGTAATGTATGTAATGTATGTAGTTTTGCACATCAAAAAAAAGAGATCTTTAAAACTCGCTTTACACTGCGCCATTACAGTGGTCTGATATGTTTACTGCATGTCACACTGCACAAGATGCTGCAAATAAAATTGTGACCAAAGTTCATGTCAAACTGTGCGAAATTCAGTTATGGTTCATGTCAGATTATATGATAAAGATTTTCTGATGAAAGATTTACGATTCAAGAAAATTTTGACATTCTGTACTCAACAGCTACAATCTGTAACATCAGCTAACATTAGCTTTCTAAAGAACTAACTGGATGGGGTTAGCTTTACATGGAGTCAAAAGTGCCAAATACAGGGGGTTGGGGGGTACACTGGGTAATTGGTGCTCCAAAAGCTAAAGAGGGGCGAAAACAGGGCCACATGAATAAGCAGCAGACTATTTTTTCTGTCCACTATGCGGTAGCTAGTTCTGCTATTTGTTCTATAAGTGAACTGAGGCCTGAGCCAGACCAGCGAAGTTTTTAGCTTAATTTATCATCTCTTTCTCCCTCTCATGCGCACACACACATAATGTCATGCTGCTCTTTACTGGTAGTTTTTAGACCTGTGTCGTAGCAGCGGTCACACTGCAGGACGTTGGACCAAAATCTCTGACACAGCCATCTTTACCGCCGACTGATTTTAACTCATGATCAAACAATTTTTTTATGATCTGCGTTGTTTTGTCTGCGACAGCGCTATCATGACGATTATCACAAACTGTAAAAGAGGCTTGGGTCAACACCAGCAGCTATTAATTAAAAACATATAAAGACTAAAGAAAAACATATTTTCACGTTTAAAGTCATAAACTTAAGGTAGGACAATAAAAATGTGGGCCTTTTTTATTCAAACAAAAAATTTGACTTCCAGTGGAAATAATATGTGAGCACAAGTTTACGTTTACTTGTAAGTTTATATTTTTTATGCAGTTTTTTCAGCCTCCTGGAAAAGAAAATTGTCACCTAAAAAGATCAGTGAAAATGTCATTTTGCTGAGATGTTACAGCAGGAACAAGCCACAACGCAGAGGAGTTTAATGATCTTTGAGCCCATTCCTGCCAGCAAGAGGAGAAAATATCACCTGGTTTTTCCCCTCTCTGTTTCTGACAGCAGCATGTCTTTATATCTCAAAACAATGCCTTCTCAAAATTTTGATCATGGAAAAATAGGTTTATTTTCTCATGATTTCCACTAATTAAGTTGAAATAATATCATATTGTCCCAGGATTTTGACTGTTATGTTGAAATAATGTCTCGTTTTTTTTTCAGATTTTGACTGATTATGTTGAACTAATAGCTTATTTGCTTATTTGTCTATAATTTGAATAAGGCCAGTCTATCAGAGTAAAATGAGAAAAGAGGGGGAGGGGCTTATACTATGTATACATCCACTTTCAAATGACTGAGCTTAAGTTGATTCTTTTTTTCCATATCACATAAAACATAAAAAATCAAATCAAATCTTGATTTCAAAATCGAAAATATGTGCACTGCTGCACCCTTTTTTTTAAAACGTAAAATGTTGCCTTGTCATCAAATTATTCAATAATTTCAATACTAATTGATTTAATAATTTAATATTTATTAAAATGATTTCATAATGAAAAAATGCATTGTTAAAAAATAACCGAAATCATTTCCTGATACGGTTTTAGTTTTCTCATATTTTTAGTGTTTTCTTGGCATATTTCTACTATTTATTTTTATTGAGTTTAGCATATTGGAAATAAAAATAACATAAAATATAAAATGCAAAATGTGCTATAACTTTTGCACAGGCCACATTTTAAATGATATTTTTTCCAGTATGTTAAATTAAGCAAATAAACATTAATTCTGCATTAAAATATGCAGAAGTGTGTTCTCTGTAGAGGATGTGTTACTTATTTTCACTTAGAAAATCAACAAAACAGGTAATCTGACCAGAGGCGTGCAAACTTTTGCATATGCATACAAGAGTATGTCTATACAAATATAAATCAAATAAGAAATTCAATGCAAATCACTTTTTTGTCCAGTGTACTGGGCATACAGTATTTCTCCTATGATTACCAGTCCAAATATACAAAAAGAACACGTTTCCACTGAAGCACAGTATCATACACGTGTTGTCTTTGCACATGTTAAGCTTTCTCTGGCGTCCTGAAGCCCTGCTGGGTCTCATATACTCTTACAAATCTCCTGGCACTGCACAGTGTCCGAATGCGATGGATTAACTTCATTTAAACATAGAGCAGCACTGGCAGCAAAGCCATACAAGGATTTATTATACTCGGAAACAAAGGTCATCTCACTGTTTCTTCACTTCTGCTGTTAAAAAATCTGACCAGGGGACGAAACATAAGTGAACTTTTTAAAAAATGATTGCATCACTGCATGACTCAGAGGAGCAGGGTTTTATTTGTGTTTTGGACTCGAATGCTCAAATGCAAAAATAAAAAAAAATAAATAAAATAAAATCCACATAGCTGAAAACCCCATCAATAAAGCTGTATAATCATAGGATTTAGATAATAATACCTGTAGAATAACATTCAACAATAATAGATTTGCACATCATTCTTAATCAAGTAAGTACATATGTTTAGTCTCATTCCTGTCTAGGAGGAACTAAGCGAGAATGGTTATAATAAAAGGACATCATGATCTTGTTGGCGGTTTAACTGACCGTAATTGCAGGACATCTGCAGGTCAGAGATCACTCTCAGAAGATTGTTCATTTGATTTCTTCTCTGCTCAGTCTCAATGATGCTGTCAGATGCAGGATAGGCGGAGTCAATGTAGATCATGTCCAACAAGTAAATACCTGTAGGACGAGAAGGAAATGAGACAAAATAGCATTATGAAACATGAAAAACTATATGAGTTCCATAAAGAGCAGATGTACTTTCGTAACACAAACCTTGAATAGGTTTGTAATTTTAAATCAAAACAATAAATGTTCTTCATTACAAAATTATCTTTGTATTTAGTACAATAATGCAGTTTCAGTAAGTGATGCTGGTGATGCTTTCAGGTTGTTAAACCATTCTGCTCAAATTTACATGCATAAAGGTACACTGTTATGTTGTTACCACATGAAGTAATTTTTTTTAAGTAGATCTGACGACCTGAAAAAATGACCTGATCAGTATCGTCTATAAAACCAATAATAAGAATAAAAACAGGAAAGTACAATGGGCCTCATTCATCAATATCTTCCTAAATTTTGTTTTAAGCTTGTTCTTAAGAAACGTCCTAAGAAAAGGCCCTCATCAGATTCATGACGTGTTCTTCAAGAGCAGAATTGTTTACACCTTTGTGCTGTTGAGTGAGAGTAGATTGTGTTCTTACCTAAGAACAAATCTCAAATAAGAAAACATTGGTGAACGTTAGAATCTTCGCGAAAACTGTGCAAGTTATTTTAAGAAGAAATTTCTTCTTAAGAACGATTGATTTGTGCACATGGCAACAACGTACAAAAAACTGGGTTGTACTTATATTACATGATCATTGGAATGGCTGGATCTACCATATGGGCAACCTGAGGCAACCAATTGCCAGAAGCACCAAAAGTTTCCTATTTTGTGCTTTGCCTCCAGCAGACCTGAGGAAGCATTCACGAAAATAAAAGAAATATGATAAAACACTGCTTAAACTTCGCTGATCACTTTTTAGAGCTGCCTAGCTGCCTAGGTGTGGCCTAAAATTCTCTGGAGCACACTTGATTGATATCCTTCTGTCCAACACTCGTAGTCTGCTAAGTAACTAAAGAACTGAACACAAGCAAAGTGGGGAGGAAATTAGTAAATGCCCAGATTAAACTGAAAGGAGAGAATTTTAGTTGAATTACACTGCTCATATGAGCCCCTCCATGGAAAAATCATATATTTTGTTTTCTATTTTGTACACCCTTTTACATTAAAAAGCCAAACTATGCTTACATATACATTTTAGTGACCACTTTATTTTATACAGGCGTCAACCAATGCCATACCACACTTACATGATTGTTACAAAAAATGTAAAATATACTATTTTTCATTGCAAAGGCTCATTAATTGGATGCTACAATGTTATGCATAGGGCAAACTTTGAACTATATTGTGTGCAAGATTGTAAGATTAGACTAATTAGAAAGAAAATATGGTTTCAGATCTTAGGGTCCCTGGGGAAAATTGTGGTTTATAAATGGTTCCACATGGTTCTAGAAAAAACTTTTAGTTTTTAAAACTTTAACAGGGTTCTTCGCACTCGCATCTGATTTACAAAAAGATGCTTTAAAGATGCAGCCATTAAGCCAAAAGTTCTTTTTGGCATCACTCCAAAGAACCCTTTTTGGCAATTTTTAAGAAGAGTGTGGACATACTGCACCGAGACTGATATGGACAAGTGTAACAAGAACCACATGTATGCAACCTGCCAGCAATGGCTTTAATCAGTTCCTCTATTTATCTTCATTCTTATAGCTTAGGCAAAAAAAAAGAAACTTAATGCTACATTGATCTTCACTTTGATTTCAGATATACTATTAAAATCCACAAAGGGCTCAATGAGACAATGAGTACTCATGTGAAGATCTAAAGCAGGAGTTCTAATGTATTCACACTGCAGCCAAATCATGTTGAAATCTCTCAGCAAGTAATCAGATCCAATAAAACAAAGAGCCGGGTTATAAAACCTTTCAGAACAAGAGTGTTGGACAAAGATCTCAGTCATGTCATGAGAAATCAGAGGGGAATTTTATCAGGACTCCTACTCTGAGATGCGTTAAGAATATGGGCCCAGGGTTGAAGTGCTGTCTGCTAGTTTAGAAGAAGGTCAATTATGAAGGGCTATGCAATGTGTTAATCGCTGTCGATTTTGTTCTTCGCAAAAGATATGCAAATGAAACTCCAACCAATCACTAAACGTTTGCACACTAAACTGCGTGCTGAATTATTTTGATCAAATCTCAGATGCTACAGGTGAGTTTGTGGATGAGCCAAGGCATTCACATGAAACAACAAAAGTGAAGTTTTTTGCAAAAAATAATTCAAGTTAATCTTTAACTACATCACATGAAGGATTCACTGATGTGTTTTTAACACATTGTCAGTTATACTGCAATTGCAATATGTGGTGATTAAGGCTGTCAAAGTTAAGGCATTAATAACACATTGACCCTTTAAACTCCCTGGCTTAGGACATATCAAGGCTTATTATTCAGTTACTACATGGACTACAATTCAAACTAACTGAGTTATTCTTGGGTTATAGAAGTGTGTAGTAAAAGTTTGGGCCTGCCAACAGGTCCTGGCCATTTAAGGGGTTAACATGATAAATTGTCAACATCACTAATTTTTTAATGCTGTAAGCTCATATGTAAACACATTAAAACAAAGAAAGCTGTGACGATTTAAATGAATAAGTATGCGCTATTTCGGTGACTATTCAAACTGAACCAAATTTGTGAAATTGACCATGTTAAGGTCTTACAAAAAGGTCATTTTTTTTTTTTAAGTCTTATTCCTTCCACTGAAGCACATGCTCAGATGACTCTCAGGTGGGTATGTCTGTTATAAATTTATGTGAATATGCTCCTGAATGATGAATAACTCTAAATGCCTGATTAGTTTATGATTATTTCATTATGAAATAAGAGCTAACAGATGTCTCATAAACTATTGTAAGAGACTTCAAATGTGGATTACTTGAAGTGCTGTCCAATGTATTCAACTCTAATAGACATTATGTAACTGCTAAACGCTTAAATGTGGCAGATGACATAACACTTAAATATACGTCTTTAATATAAAGAATTGCTATTTTTGAATAGACGGCTATTTATTGATGTCTTTACAATGAGTTATGTAAACTATTTGACAGTTATGAGCCACTGCGTGAAGTGCAAATGCTTCATAAATCCGTCCCGTCTCTCTTTGCAGGATGTAGAAACAAATCCCGACTAGGAAAATGAAAGCTGTGAGAACGGGAGACGGAAAACAGGAGAGCAAGACTGACAGCAAGATGGAACGCAAGAAAAGTGCTGTCAGTATTTTTCAATAAACAAATGAGCCTCTTTAGCTTTAGCTAACAGTACACAGCTTTCCGCTCTGGTATGTTGGACTGCAGAGCTGAGCTGAGCTGAGGTGATGAAGTTTTGAAGGAAACCAGTCAAGCGGAGCTGGTTCTAAAAGAAAACAGGCATGGAAATTGAGTCCTGACTGAGTGCACTGGAAAGCTATGCTTGAATGATTCATACCACTGTTTGGTTAGGCTGTATTTTGTACCGCAAAATAATATAGAATTTTGATTTTGATTTCTAACAATGACATTTCAGAAAAAGAACAAAAGAATCTTTCCAGGGCAGATGTACATTTGAAGTCAGTCCAAGGATTCAGTTTTTACTTCACAAAGTAAACACAGGAAATATGAAAAGACAGAAATGCGCTGGAATTTTCCTTTTTTTTTTATTTTTGATTCACTTTTCTCCCCAATTCAGTCATGGACAATTCCACCCACTACTTGCGTCTCACACTATCACGCAATGCTACTGAGCTGGGAGGGTGGGGTCTAGCACAAGCTTTCTCCGAAACACGTGAAGCATTCTTGCATCTTTTTGAACGGCTTCTTATGCAACATCATTGGACAGCTCAATTATGCTCTCTTTGACTCCTGGCCATGGATGGTCATGGTGTCGCCTGGAATCAACATCACGGTCTCCCAACAATTGGGCCAACTCTTAGATGGTTTCACCACTCAGAAGGCTGGAATTTTATTTTTTACAGATGGACAGCTTTCAATTGTCATCATCATCATGATGTCAACCAGATCTCATGGAGATACAAATGGCCAGAATAAGGTGGACTTGAGGAAGACTTGTTTTCTTATGGTGCCTCATAGTGAAGAGGTCATAATGTTCCACTGAAGCAATGTTGGCACACAGGCTTATGCAATGGAAAATTCACTTCCAGACACTACACCCTGCTCTATGACGATGCTTGCATTTGGAATGGTTGCTACTTAAAATGCAGGCAACTTCATATTCAGATCAAGTAAGAGAAAACCAAAGCAACTTAAAAACATGGACACAATGTCATTGATGAGAATCATTGTTCTTAAGATGCACAAAAAGCTATTTGAGTGCTAATAGCACCCCCTTGAGGAGAATCTTCAGCCTGTTAAACACGAGTGAATGGGTGAATGAGTTACTAGATCCACAAGGTGACACTGTTTTGTGGGAACAGGTTTAGCCTCAGGGATGGAGCTTTCCTTATCACTATGTGGGTGCAAGCTACATAAATATTCAGATCAAGTAAGAGAAAACAAAAGCAACCTAAAAACATGGACAGAGTGTCTTCAGCCTGCTATACATGAGTGAACGGTTAATGAGTTACTAGATCCATGAGGTGACACAACTCTGAGTTGTCAGCATCGCTTTAAAATAAAGTCACTGTCCAACCACAAACTCACAGCACTTCTGTGTGTGTCAAGTTAAATGTTAGCTATTTGTAGCCTGCTTTCTCCTTATCGGCATATGACTATGTGTTAGTGCCATGCTGATTGGCGCTTCAAAATGAGCTGCGTGATTCCACTGAAATGGACCAGTTAAGCTATACAGTCAACAGCGATTGCTATTATTGCCAGCAGAAACAAAAGCATAGTGTAATTTTATATCACCATATCATAACTAATAGAACAGACATTCTGAGGTTAGTGCAAATACTAAACTTCCAATCATTTCCATGTTTGAGTTTATAAGTAGAATAGGACATATTTAATTATGATTTGAATTTGACAGGAAGTTATTGTTGTGCTGAAAGAAAAATATCCTGCTATGCTTTT